CTCTATATAATACATGTCTAAGTATTTAAAGCTAAACTATATACAAGGGGTAAGTGGGGTGGTTACCACTATTGGTTGAGACTAGGAATTGGAAAGTGGTAGGCGTTATGAAATTCTAAATAAAGGAAAAAGGTCGGTTCTGGAGACAAAAATACAATCCTAAACTAATCTGATTCGTTGCAGTGTGCCCCGAATATCGAGAGGCAACTGTCATAAAGCTATGTCATAAATTAAGAAAACTGCCTGTCTATCAAAGGCACAAAGGCACAGCAGGAACGGTCTAAATTTTCTAAATACTAAAAAGTTTTGTACACTATACATGAGTTATTTGGCCGATGCTATCCCTTTCTTTAAAAAAAAAAAAACAATTTAAAGCGATTCTTAAACTTTTATTTATTTTTGCAAACTTATTATTAAATTTGAAGTACACGCCTTTGGATTAAAGTGGTCGTAGAGATAGGAGTTACCTCTTAAGGTAATACTAATACACCATGTGCGTTAAGTATAAACCCAATAAGATATCGGCCCGTCCGCGTAGGAAAGACTTTTGTAACTGAATTTTAATAATTAAAATTAAAATAATGAAAACTGTAGTTTTGTCAATTATGCAAAACTGGACGGATGGCGTAGGAGTGCCAACCGTCTATGGTCGATAAGGCACGTTATTTATTACAACATTAACAATTCTAGTATCGTTAACTCATGTAACTGATGAACCGGAACAACGCCCTTGACCTCCTCCACCCACCTCTGCCCAACCCCCCCCCCGTAACACATCCCTAATGTTTTCAGCGGATTTTTTTCTCACCCCATTTTCAACCCTATTTTTCATCCCTCTCATACCGTAAAAAAGCAGGTATATTCACATTTCATCGTTTACAGCTAATGTGCTCTCCTTACGTTTTACTGTAATGCGTTTTTCTTTTTTACTTATTACTGCACACACAAATTACAATTCCCATACATACCTACGTTCTAACTAACATTACACTTAACTATTTACACACACCTTTTATTCCCTTTATTTCCCCGGGTCCTTAGGTACATGCGCCAACTGCTGCGCCAGCTTCTGCACATCCACACGGGCGCTTCGTTTCCACCTCATGCCCTAGGACGTCTTCTTCGAGACGCAACCTATCTTCTTCCACTAGCTCCAGGATTTCTCCTTGAAGACGAGCGACCTCGTCTTCAAGAATGGTCCTGCATTTTCGCACTTGGGCGAGCTCTGTGCTCACGTTACCGCGGGCATCGCGCTTCCTCTCCCAAGCTGACGTCAGTGCCACCATCTTTTCTCGCACGTGATGGGCACTTATCATGCCGCCTTCTAAACGCTCCATCTCCTGCGAAAGTATCATGGGGGTTTCGGGCAGAGGTGATACGGGTGATATACACCACGGAGGCATCGTCACATCTATGACACATGTACCTTTTCCCATCAACTGTTCCTCTTGTGGCAATGTTGCAGCCGTCGTCGTCGGTGGAGGCAGCGTTTCTGCTGGGGTCACCGTGCTTATGGTGGGCCTCGTCTCCGAACCGCTCCAAATCGGAGACGTCGTCGCCACACTTCTCCGCCGGATCCCCAGCTTCTTTTTTCCCGCTGCCATAGTCGTTGTGGTCGAGGCAACCGATAACGCCGCCATAGTGCTAACGATTCCAACTATTTCAAACTTCAAAACGAAATATAATTGTTTTAAAATATTACACAATTAATACAAAATAATTTTACTAAATATTTCATTCTACTTACAGCACCCGCCCTAAACTTCCCGAAACGGGACTTCGGCACTGCCGGCTTCCTTACATCTTTACCAACCATTCTTTTTAAAATATTATCGTCCACTTCACACAACGTTCTAAAACAGAATGAGACAACGCTCTCCGCTTACCAACTACTCCCCTCTTAACCCGCACCCTCCTTCGAAACAAGTTTTCCGCCTCTCAACCACCATCGGAATGTGGTTTGCAGACGTGACGTCATCTGCACAGTTAACACCTGCGTTTTCGCGTACTACGCATGCGTCGATTACTCTATCATGCTAATCCCCATGAGCTACTGTTGTGCTCACGTACTCCGTATACGCATGCGTCAGAAATCTTTGTCACGAAAGTTCGCGAGTATGGTTGTTCACTCAACGAAGCTACGCGCATGAATTTTCTGTAAACTGCCTTCCAATTTACGTGTGGTGTAAATTAATAACATACTATCAACTATTAATTATTTATAATATATTTATGAAATACACATTTACTACATTGTCAGCTTCAACCACTTTACTAAACACTATAATTTCCCCTCTTTCCACTATCTTCTGCCTCACTCAATCTACATCGAACAACTTCCTTTTTTCACATCGTTTGGAAAAGATGTCCTACCACCACATCGATACGTACCGTTTCTTACACAACCTAACAATAATTCTACAATCTGTAATTTTACGTTCGTCGATGAATCCCCCGTGAAGCCTGGCTGCAGTATACTTGCATCACACATATCTCCTGTTGTCAGTGGTCTTCCGCATTCGTAACAATGGTGATGATGTCTACCGTGAACATGTAATACGAACACGAACACTAAATCCTCACATTTACAAACCTCCTCCCCTACACCGTCTTCTTCGTAGCAACTGCTACACAACACCAACGTTGTATTTTCATGTAAGTTTAACAACACCTTCCCTTCGGTACACGTGTATTCGTTAATGTTGTCACACACACTACGTCTCAGAATATGTTCCAATGAGCAATTATTTTCCATCGTATATTTATGCTGCACATAACCCTTCTTTATACGTCTTTCGCTATTATCGCATCTGTCACCGTTGACTGGCAAAAACTGTCGGTAATTATTCTCAATATTTAAACCAGTTCGCCATGACTGTATCCACTCGTCCTCACATACGTCCGCTCCGAAGTCTGTGCGATACAATATAGGTAGCGCACTGACTTCTATACCATTAAATAATCTTAATGAGCGGTTCTCGAACCACGATGTTCTACAAACGAATCCCATGCTGCTCACACCTTTACTGATTACACAATACATTTTTTCTTCCATATTAAGAACTCTGCAGATCCTCGCTTCCCCCACTCTCTTCTTCCTCCTCCAATTCATCTCACCCTACTCATACCCCACTCCTCCAAATCATATAAATTCCCACATCTTCTATTCCTTCAGCAGAAGACTTCTGCTCTTCCACATCTCACCATGTATTACTACATAACTTTTAAAGGTACAGCACTGCAAACAACCAAGGCACCCTTTACCATCGCCACAGTGACGCTTGGACCCATTGCAACGAAGCGGTAACAACATGGACCGTGTCCACTTCCAAAAGACCCGTTCTCTTCTGTGAAGACATTGAACAATACCTCCATGACGTCCAAGCAGCTGGGAGCGGAACAATACATTATGTCGTGTACGGCATTCTANTAGTCGTTGTGGTCGAGGCAACCGATAACGCCGCCATAGTGCTAACGATTCCAACTATTTCAAACTTCAAAACGAAATATAATTGTTTTAAAATATTACACAATTAATACAAAATAATTTTACTAAATATTCATTCTTCTTACAGCACCCGCCCTAAACTTCCCGAAACGGGACTTCGGCACTGCCGGCTTCCTTAAATCTTTCTCAACCATTCTTTTTAACAATATTACCGTCCACTTCGCACAACGTTCTAAAACAGAATGAGACAACGCTCTCCGCTTACCAATTACTCCCCTCTTAACCCGCACCCTCCTTCGAAACAAGTTTTCCGCCTCTCAACCACCATCGGAATGTGGTTTGCAGACGTGACGTCATCTGCACAGTTAACACCTGCGTTTTCGCGTACTACGCATGCGTCGATTACTCTATCATGCTAATCCCCATGAGCTACTGTTGTGCTCACGTACTCCGTATACGCATGCGTCAGAAATCTTTGTCACGAAAGTTCGCGAGTATGGTTGTTCACTCAACGAAGCTACGCGCATGAATTTTCTGTAAACTGCCTTCCAATTTACGTGTGGTGTAAATTAATAACATACTATCAACTATTAATTATTTATAATATATTTATGAAATACACATTTACTACATTGTCAGCTTCAACCACTTTACTAAACACTATAATTTCCCCTCTTTCCACTATCTTCTGCCTCACTCAATCTACATCGAACAACTTCCTTTTTTCACATCGTTTGGAAAAGATGTCCTACCACCACATCGATACGTACCGTTTCTTACACAACCTAACAATAATTCTACAATCTGTAATTTTACGTTCGTCGATGAATCCCCCGTGAAGCCTGGCTGCAGTATACTTGCATCACACATATCTCCTGTTGTCAGTGGTCTTCCGCATTCGTAACAATGGTGATGATGTCTACCGTGAACATGTAATACGAACACGAACACTAAATCCTCACATTTACAAACCTCCTCCCCTACACCGTCTTCTTCGTAGCAACTGCTACACAACACCAACGTTGTATTTTCATGTAAGTTTAACAACACCTTCCCTTCGGTACACGTGTATTCGTTAATGTTGTCACACACACTACGTCTCAGAATATGTTCCAATGAACAATTATTTTCCATCGTATATTTATGCTGCACATAACCCTTCTTTATACGTCTTTCGCTATTATCGCATCTGTCACCGCTGACTGGCAAAAACTGTCGGTAATTATTCTCAATATTTAAACCAGTTCGCCATGACTGTATCCACTCGTCCTCACATACGTCCGCTCCGAAGTCTGTGCGATACAATATAGGTAGCGCACTGACTTCTATACCATTAAATAATCTTAATGAGCGGTTCTCGAACCACGATGTTCTACAAACGAATCCCATGCTGCTCACACCTTTACTGATTACACAATACATTTTTTCTTCCATATTAAGAACTCTGCAGATCCTCGCTTCCCCCACTCTCTTCTTCCTCCTCCAATTCATCTCACCCTACTCATACCCCACTCCTCCAAATCATATAAATTCCCACATCTTCTATTCCTTCAGCAGAAGACTTCTGCTCTTCCACATCTCACCATGCATTACTACATAACTTTTAAAGGTACAGCACTGCAAACAACAAAGGCACCATTTACCATCGTCCACAGTGACGCTTGGACCCATTGCAACGAAGCGGTAACAACATGGACCGTGTCCACTTCCAAAAGACCCGCTCTCTTCTGCCAAGACATTGAACGATACCTCCAAGACGTCCAAGCAGCTGGGAGCGGGACAATAATTTATGTCGTATACGGCATTCTATTAATTAAACATGTACAAATTATTTAATAACATAAGTTACTTTAATTAATGTAGTATTTAATGATATAAGTTAGTTTAATTAATGTAGTTTTTCATAATATAAGTTAGTTTACTTTTTTATAATACATGTGTAAAAATTTAAATAATATAAACTTTATAACAACTACATCTTCTTTTTATTTTTGCATACATCTACAATCTTGAAAGTATTGAACAATAATATTTCTTCAATCACAGATATATATATAAATGAGTTACACATCATCATTCCTCCAAGAGAAAATTATTAAATAAAATCGTTTTTCATAATATAAGTTAGTTTTCTTTTTTATAATACATGTGTAAAATTTAAATAATATAAACTTTATAACAACTACATCTTCTTTTTATTTTTGCATACATCTACAATCTTGAAAGTATTAAACAATAATATTTCTTCAATCACAGATATATATATAAATGAGTTACACATCATCATTCCTCCAAGAGAAAATTATTAAATAAAATCATCTTACAATACAATCATTTATTTTATATTACTATATTTACAATATTAATTAAATATGTTCAACAATTGTGTTTGCAATTCATTTAACTTCTGCTCCACCTCTTCCACTCTCTTTCTACCTTCCACCACCATTCTACAGCTGCTTTCACGACTTTTCTTCAGATCCTCCAACTCTTTCTCTTTCCGCTTTATTTGTTCCAAAACTGAAGCGTCCTTCATGTCATGGTCCTTTATTTCACCTTCCCGTTTTCGCTTCTCCCGTTGAAGTGTCTTCACTGCTTCTCGCACTTGCTCCACCAGCTTTGAATAATCCAACGGACCGCCCGACACTCTTCTATTGTATGTCCGCTTCTTAGGCTTCATACTTACAGATTTACCGCCCCCTACCGGCGTCCGCGATGTACTAGCCACAGGTACTGCTATCCTTTCCGTAGCTACTTCTACACATGACTTTCCTCCACCGACTGTCTTCGTCACCAACTCATCGTTGTGGAAGAACTCCTCCAGCATCTCTGACAGCTCCGATTCGTCCAAGCTAATCACTGACGCATCTGCCGGATCACACTGTCCCAATTGAGCCATTTCACTTAATCTTTTCCTCTATACATGTCTCTTAAATATCTTCAAACCATCCCCACCACTCCTACAGGCCTCACCTTCTTCATTTTCTCCCACTCACATTTTCTTACGTTGTTATAATCTACTTCGCACACGGTCTTCCTCATCTTTCTCCAGACACCTCTGTTACATCTAACCGATATGATTCGTTGTCCGGACTGCGATACGTCCTTTACGCGATCTGACAATTTAAAACGACAT